TTACTTTTCTTTGTTAATATTATTGTGGCTAATCGCGACTTCCTTTAATTTTTTTTATTTTCAGTGACATTAACCAAATCCTGAATTATTGAGGTGAATCTAATAATAATAATAGATTTGTATACATGAAAAGTACACATATATGACATATTGTTGTGAATTTGTCTGTCTAAAAAGTGATATAATAGAATGGCTGACATAAACATAAATAAAAATTAATTAATTGTAATTTTTATTTATCTAACTTATTTTATAAGCTAGTAAATTACAATATTGAATAGAAGATACTTATTTCTGTGCCAAATCTTTTCACATTTTTTTAATAAGCTGAACTATCGAAACCTGTTCATAGATAAAATAAAAATATACGTAGGAATACAAATCGACACTATAAAGGAAAATATAATAGAAAAATATACTATTTGATCATATTAAAAAGGGGTATAAATGCTATCCTTTGCTCTTCCTCTTGAGTTCTTCATGTAAGTACGTAAATGATAAATTCTTGCGAGCTGAGACGCTATTAGTCTTATCTGACATTTCTATCTGCACGTTAAAATGACGTAAAATGTCCGCCACTATATGGAGGTACATGTTCCAATCTCCTGTCCATGCGATGCTTAGGTCGATTTCCTTAAATATCGTATACTGCTACTCTACGTTTGAATATTAGGTTCCTGGCACTTTTGAAGTTTAATTACAAATTATCTTATTTGAAAATGTATGTATATAATTTCTAATACTAATATTATAGATGCGAAAGTGTGTCTGCATTATATTTTATAACGAGGGCGAATATAGGCTAGCACTTATTTAAAAAAAGAGTAGACGTCAATTAAACTGGTCTTATACATAAAAGTGAAATAAGCTTAAATTTGTAATTAGTTAAATAAATCTACGATGCTGCTATTGTATATGATACCAAAATGTAAATTGAATTTCTTTTACTGACTTTGAAATTCTCCGAAAATACTCTCTAAATTCTTCCGGAGCCTTGATTGGGATTGACAAAATATTTCTCATCTTATTATAAGATCTATATAATGATGCAAATTTTAAATATAACCTCAACCGTGACCTTTTCCCCTATATTTTGCGTTTAATAAATATTCACCTGACCGAGCTGACAGATTTCCCACGTGGCTACTTGAACTTCATTAACCAACTTGTTCTACGACATTATAACTAATACTTGAATAATCTGTCATATACCAAGTTAAATATACAAATAACACAGGGATATTATACTCACAGGGGTAAGCTCGCGATTTCGTACGGCAGTTAATAGGTAGAATCTGTTATTTTATTAATCAATTAATAAACAATAGCTAAAATTAATGAGGAAACAATACTAAATTAGGAGATAATTTTCTAAGTTTTTTTAAACTATATGTTCATCTATATTTAACAATATATTCTGAGAAAATTTTGCGTTTATCGATTTTAACATTTATATACCTAATTACATTGACTACTTTAGTGTAGTAAGTAGTGACTCACCTCCGTTTCGCAAGGATGTATGTTAAGTTAAGTTACATACAAACATTCGCGTTTTTAACAATATTATAATACACTGTATAAATTGATTACTTATTAAAAGACAGAATTTTATATAGTGTACGAATATTTATTTCTTGTGTTTGTTATGTATTTATTGAATCTGATAGATAATATCCGAATCAATGAATAACCATGATCATAACGAGCCGTTAATTTCCCACAAAATAAAATTCCAATATTTTCGTCATCAGCTATATGTTGAACACGGCAATTTTTTTCCCCTAACTATCTCTTACTTGCGACTTCTGTATTTTTCGAGGCAAAAGCTAGCATATATCTATCTTTGTGATACATCTATCTTCACGGCAAAAATTAAAATCCGTTCAGCTGTCAAGTTCTGAAAAGACAAACAGACATCTTTTCCCATTTAAAATATTACTACTGACACTAGGTACATACCTACCTAAATTGTATAGTGAATACCTATTTCAATATTGAATACAGGTATGATATCTTAGCCATGCGAAATGGCACCCCATAAGCTGTGTCATGGGCATTATATGATAATATCGTAATGCTCTTTATATATATATAGGCGACGGTTATCACATACCATCAGGTATTCAGGTTTTTGATTGTCATTCCATATTTCAGCACCGATACGATATTGAAAACTCCAAGAAAAGAGCTTAGTCCTTCTTAAAAGGTCGATAGCGCACTTTGCAATTCCCCTGGTGTTGCGAGTGCTCATAGACGGCGGTAATCAGTTACCATTGATGAGTCACAATCTCGTTTGTCCCCTATACTACAAAAAATATATGTAAAAATATACTGTATTAGAAAAAAAAATATGTCGTTTACTTTATAGAACGTCGATACTAACGAAATTACGATTATAAAAACCTATTTACTATATTGGTGTCTAAGAACTGAAGTAGATCAGTAAACGTAAGACGAAATGTAAAGAATAAGATATATTCAATATAAAACTTCGTGGTAACTTCGTTTCATAGAACTTATGTTTACAACAGGAAAAACTACTTTAACGATTTATCAAACGCCTTTGCGTCGATACAATTTCTTGGCTACGCTTTCTTACTTTTTCGATGAGTAAAGTTAGTGGTATATGTAGTCATTTGGGTATAAATCGCGCAATGCCATAATTTAGAATGAATTGAACTGGCATGTACAGTCAGCTTCATATATTCATATAAAATTATAGTAAACCTAAAGATAAAATTATAATGTTCGCTACTTAAATAAGTATAGTATAACAATAATAAGTAAACACATTTAAAAATATTGACCCCTGCGAGTTATGGCAGGCTAAATCTATACACCAGGAACTAAGTACGATACTATAATATGATTTTTAAACTTTTGCGTTTAGTACATATTGTTTGTATTTTGTATTTGTATTACATTTATAGCTATTTGTTTTTTTATAAATTTTTATAAGTAATTATATTCAATAAGTGTTCGAGTACAGCAAGTGCTGCGTGACATAATCTTTTTTTGGACAATCTAGTGACGGTAGTTGAAAATACCACTGACACCTACATCATTGTACTACTCTACGGCTCGTGATCACGGCAAATGTAACTTCGTCGAAACGTCGTCGGGAGGGCAAAAATCTTATTTTGAATAAAATTATTTTGTCAAGTCAATAATTATGTCAAGACTTGATTGACTATATATATTAATAATGGATACTGTTTGAAATTTTGTATACAATATTTTTATGAAGTTGGCTAACTAGATTTATCGTATATTTTATTTAATCCAAAGGTATTGTACCAGCTAGGATAAGAAGTGAGAAGGCATCCACTGTCCGTATTCAGTAGGTACTATCCTTGAATTGGAATTACATTTTCAAATTCAGGCCGCCGCGAGAGGCGTCAGCTTGCGGTCCTAAGGGCGATAAATGGTTTTATCTCGTGAATATTTATAGCTATGTCTAAGGTGAACGTTAGGAAGTATTTTACTTAATGTTTTTTTAATGAATAAGTGTATTCTTAGCGCAGACAAGATTAAAGTAAAGTTGTTGTAACAACAGTTGTAAATGACGTATATTTCTTTAATACAATAATGTATAAATAGAATGATATGGAATAAATCAATTAGTTTTTGCTCAAACGAAATGTATTGCATTAAAAAACTGGTTCAATCGTGCTCAATCAATGGAATCAATACAGAGCAAACCCTATTTATAATAGAACTAATAGTGAAATGTTAACTATTGACGTAGGTAAATATCATATAAAATACACGCTAAAATAATTGCTAAACATATAACTGTAGTGTGAACCATAAGAAGTTAATTAAAATATGAATTATTTGGCGTCTTCACGACTGAAATTTTGAATACACAAGCTATTTGGGGCGAAGAAGGACATAGTAATTTTTTATAACGTTAACTCACTTGCCCCAGTTAGTATTCCCATTTCTTAGTACAAGTAGGTACATAATAAAACTCATAGATTACCAGCTATTGCAGCGCGGAAATGAAAACATAAATATAACTCACGATAGCTTTATTTTAATCCATTTATATAAACGGTTCAATAGTTCCGTTTCCAGTAAAAGATAAAATTTGTTTACAAACAAACAAATTATATACATATGTATACATAGTCATTAGTCAGTATGTATAGATTTCTCGCGTTAGCGTGGGTGGAAATTACAGGCCAACAAAAAATCAAGACGGAGTAAGTACTACTTACAGCGAAAATTAGATGTTCCTGTATATTATTTTAATATATAAAAATAAAATTAGACTCCTCCTAAGTCTTATTTTCTTTTTATAAATTTTATCTTGTCATGTACTGAAATTATGAATCTGAAAAACGTTTATTATTTCTAAAACAATTCCATTTCAACAATTAAGTGTTGGAATGACTTTGTAAGCAATATCAGGGATACCCAGCTCCCCCATATGGCACGTCCATTTATGATTTAAAAAAAAAATTCATTCATTTCCTACAAAAAAAACAAAATAATTTTTACTGTTAAATAAACCTTATATAAGTTTATTAGAGGGTAAATTTAAAAAATATAATATTTCGCTTTTGTTGTCCTAAAGTCTGGCCATAAATACTGTGACAATTAAAAATAAACACAATATTACATTTGAATCTGTCATTCCTCTAGGAATATTCATTGTTTTCTCGTTTACGCGGAAATCGGTTTTCAAATATTTTTGCGATATAGAGTGGGATAATAAAGAAAACAGAATCGCTGTAATTGTATTACACAAGGTAGGTTTTTATATTAATATTCAAACTAACACACATTACAGTAATAAAGCTTATATGATTCAGATTTTTTTTCTGTAATAATATTTATAGCAAGTGTTGTTGTCTGTCACAATGTTTATTTGATATTAAAGTTCTGTATACAAAATAATATAATAAAATTCTTTAGAAAAATACAATATATGAAGTATAAAAGTATGTGGCCAGTACGTCAGCAACATGGCGCCCCGCGGTGTGAGCACCGGTTTAGTTTGAGCTGACATGCTGGCGGTCTAGTAGAGGAACCAACTTTCGGGCTGGGCGCTTGAGGATACCTCCTTTGGTGGCGACCTCTGCCACACGGATCGTTTTGTCGGGACCGAGGAATGTTTTAAAGATACGGCCCCGTGGCCATGAACCGCGCGGAAGGTTGCCGTCGGCAATGAGAACCGGGTCTCCGACTTTGAATTCTGGTTTTTCTCCTGGTCGTCTCGGAATCAGTGTGGGGAGGTATTCCGTCAACCATCTAGCCCAAAAGTGGTCAGCAAGACGAAGGCCCTTTTTCCAATTTACTCGACGGATAAGGTCGCGTTCATCCATCTCTCCGAATGATTGGTGGGGAGAGGAGCAACCAATTAGAAAGTGAAATGGCGTTATACTTTCTTCGTCATTAGGGTCTACGGAGACGTGGGTGAGTGGCCTTGAATTTATTAAGGCTTCGGCTTCTAGGAGGAGTGTGTGTAGAACCTCTTCTCGTGGTGATTTTTCTTTTGGTGTTGCAGAGAGGGCTGTCTTTACGCTTCGGAGCAACCTCTCCCAGCATCCGCCCATAAAGGGTGCCCCAGGTGGAATGAAGTGCCACTGGATCCTTTTATTGGCAGCATCATTGACTACGTCGTCATGGTAGAGTTGCTTCAGTATATTATTTGCTCCGACGAAGGCTGTCCCGTTGTCTGAGTAAATTTTAATTGGGCATCCACGCCTTGATATAAAGCGACGTAGAGCCATGATTGCCGCATCCGAGGATAAGCTGCCAACAATTTCTAGGTGGATGGCTCGTACTGTCAGGCAAGTGAAGAGTGCCACATAGCGTTTTTCGGTTCGTCGGCCAATGGATACAGTAACTGGCCCGAAATAATCTAGCCCAACAAAGGAGAATGGGCGTACGCTATGAGCCATCCGTTCTGCAGGTAGATCACCGAACGGTGGGGTCGGTGGGTTCTTTTTACGAAGGCGACACATCATGCATTCGTTGGCGACTTTCTTTACGGCTGGACGTATACCGAAGATGAAATAGTTCTGTCGTAATTCGTTGACAATTAATTCTGTGTTCGCATGTGCTGCTCTGTTGTGATGGTGTTTTATTAGAAGTTTTACGATGGGATGCTTGCCGTCGAGCACAATGGGGTTACTTGTGGTGATTGAACCCGCACAGGCTCTTGTCCTCCCTGCTAATTTTAATATTTGGGAATCGTCCAAGGTGACAGCTAGCCGTCTCAAACGACTTCTAGAAGGCAAGGGCTTTTCGGCTTTAATAAGGCGACGTTCTTCTCCAAAGGAGTCTAGTTGGGAACGCAAGAGTAAGCGGAGTTCTGATGCGACTAGATCTGAGGCTTGTAGCCGTCGAGAAGGGGCTTCGTCAACCCTATTCCCTATCTTACGAAACAATAAATGTATAAAAAACCTAGCAGCGAGAGCAACAGTAGCTGTAGCGCGAACTAGACGTAACCAATTACTGAAACGACAGTGATTAGCTACTACTGGGGATAGTTCCGGAGAATTATCTGTTGTTAGTGCAACTAGCTCTCGATCACATTTCATTTCTTCGGGGCCTAGTCGCACATTTGTGGAAGGTTCCTCAGGCCATTCATTTTGACCGAGTAATAGAAAGGGTGGCCCGGAGAACCATCGTGAAATTTCGAATTTTGATTGTGGCCTCGTAGCGTCGTCAGCAACATTCAGATGAGTTGGAACATATCTCCAACAAGAAATGTCTGTGAGTTCTAAAATTTCTCCAACCCGATGTGAAACGAATACTTTAAAATTGCGAGCATCGCTACGAAGCCATTTGAGAACTGTCAAAGAATCTGACCAAAGGAAAATTTTGACAGGCTTATGTTTATGAGCCTCTATTAAATATTTACAAAAACGAGCGGCGATCAGAGCTGCCTGGAGCTCTAATCTAGGTATGGAGGCTGGCTTTAGAGGAGCTAACCTCGCTTTTCCACCAATAAGGCTTATTTTGCAATCGTTGGGCGTTATGAAACGCCAATACGCTACACAGGAGTATGCGTATTCGCTAGCATCAGCAAAGACATGGAGTTGTTTTTCCGTCCACTCACATGTTGTGTAGCAGCGTGGAATAGAAGTTTGGCGGAGATTTGATAAGTGCTCAAACCAATGTTTCCATTTTAATAGAATTTCGGATGGTAAGTGATCGTCCCAGTTGATACCGAGCCTCCAGGTTTGTTGAAAAAGAATTCGACCTCTTATGACAATAGGAGCCAAAAAGCCTAGAGGGTCATATACTTGCATTAGTAATGATAGGACATGGCGCTTAGTCCACTTAGAAGACTCATGGATAGGGGGTAAACTTCGCAAAAGGCCTAGAGAGTCATCAACGATGTTCCAAGACACTCCGAGAATTTTATGGTTTGGAGCATTGTTTGCGAGATTTACCTCTAAGATATTTGTGGCACATAGATCTCGAGGAATCAAGGTAAGAGCTTCTTTAGAATTAGAAACCCAATTTCTCATCTCGAAACCTGCGCGAGAGTGGACTTCTACAATATCAGCTACGAGACGAGCTGCTTCATCTGCAGAGTCGACGCTACCCAGGTAATCGTCCATGTAGTGGTTGTTAACTACAGCATCTACGACCATCGGAAATTCTTTTTTATAATCTAATGCGTTTTTATTTTTCAGGTAGAGAGCTGTGCACGGACTGGAGACCGCACCGAAAATCATCGACGACATCCTGTATTCCAAAATCGGTTGGGATGGTTCATTACGCCACAGGAAACGTTGAGCGTCTCTGTCCTCCTTCCGGATTTTAATTTGGGGAAACATTTCCCGAATATCGCCGTTGAGAGCGATGCGGCCTTCACGAAAACGCATCAGGATTGCTAACAGAGGTTGCAGTAAATCGGGACCTGCTAAAAGCATAGAATTGAGGCTAACACCTTCAAAAGTGGCTGCTGCGTCGTGTACAACCCTAAGTTTCTTTTTTGTGGGTGTACGACGCCGAAATGTGGCAGATACCAAGTGATTTTGGAGGGGTCTGCAGGTTCTGTGCATATTTCTGCGTAACCCTTGACAATGTTGGCATTTATCTGTTGCCTATATGATTCTGCAAGCGAGTTATCACCTATGAGTTTTCGTTCTAGGCTTTTAAAGCGGGACAAGGCAAGTTTATAATTATTGGGGACATCTTTTAAGTTGTCTCGCCATAGGAGACCTGTTTCAAATCGCCCTGAAGGAAGACGAGTAGTGGTGGACTCTAGTAAATCTAACGCTCTTTGCTCAGTAGGGGTGCGATAATCTTTAGCTACAATGCCTATAGAATCTAGTTTGTAATGTTCTTTTATGAGATTTTCCAACGATTCATAGCTGTTTGACGGATTTACAGTTGTGGAAATGGTATGGTTTACGAACTCGATTGGTTTGGTTTTACTCGAGCTGAAACCGAAAAGGACCCAACCAAGAGGGGTGAGACCGGCTACAGGCTGAGACTTAGAGCTCTGGCGGATCTCTGTGGGCAGGGTGAGGTTCCAGTTGTCGATACCAATTAAAAGCATCGGTTTAGCATGTTCATAACATATAAAATCGACCAAATCAGATAAATAATGTAAACCTTTAACAAACTCGCGATCAATATGTTGTGGACCAAGGTTCAGGTTAGGAATAGAACGAACATTTTTTAAAGAATGCCACTCCGTACTATAACGTCCCTTGATTGTGATGTCGACTAGGGATATATCGGACTCAGTTGACATACCTCCTATACCATCGATCTTAATATGGCTTCTTCGTCCCTTTGCACCTATGGCGGACGCTACTGACGAGTCTAATAGGTGGCTGTAGAGCCATTATTTTATTTTTAATCTCCCAATTAATTAAGTGATTTAGTTAGGATTTATTTATTTATTTTTTTTTAAATCGAAAATTAAATTTTGAATTGAAAGAAATACGTGTTTATTTGAGTGATTGACAAACATTAATGTTAAATTAGTCTATAATCTTCATTTAAATTAAAAT